TTGTTCCAGGTCATGGGAGATGCCATCACAAAGATTAATATGTGTGATGGGGTTTGAAAAAAATAAACAGGAAATTTCAATAAAATGCAACAACTACATTAACCTTTTTTGGATATAACCAACGAAAATTTTAAATACATTAATTTCAAAGAATTGAAAATTTGTATAGTATATTGAAGATCTTACTAATTTCATTATTGCACTCGAATTATTTCTCTCGATTATTCAAGCATACACCGAACCATAATATTGGTTTTTACAACCATATTGCCAAAAAATTAATGTAGCTACTTATAAGGGATGTAATACCAATATTTTCGTACACTTTTTCTGTATTGTTACGTTTTTCGAAATTTAAGGCAATCTCGGAGAGCAAAATGGTTTTTTTCTTGTTCTTTAAATTTTATTTTATACAGATTAATATATCTTCATCAAGGAAAACAAAATTAACAATATCAAAGTACATGTACGTGTATTCTATAAATTTTTAACGATTGACAATTAAAAACATCAGTATATATGTCAGTTTCATCTTTTTTTCCTTGGTCATTTAGTTCAATTATCTACTGTTCTGTTGAATCAGACAAAATTACAAATACTCAGAATAAGTACATGTTCACGTATACCTTTGGTAGAATGATTATACCCGCATAAGGAACTATTGAACATATTGTTCAATAGTTCCTAATGAACCATTGTTCATACGCAATATAGTATAGTAGTTCTAATAGCCAAATATACTCCATGAAATGATATTTTATTACAGAAAGCTTTTAACTGGAACTGGAACCATTTCAACACTAAAGTGATAATATACTGGGACTTGGAATTGGAACACGTTAACCCCCCACCCCACCCCATCCCTCCCCCGAAAATAGATTCTTATAAATTTTCTACAATAGGAGGGTTGCGTGTTACTCACTATATATGAATTTATTTGGGTAAAGATGGGAAAAAAATCACAGGTGAAGCCCTGAGCCATTTAGAAAATGTTTACCATAAATAGAGAAACTCTGCTGATATGTGATTCAAAATTAATATAAAATCAAATAAATGAAAATATCTTTAATTTTGAAGAAATCAATTCATATGACGAGCGCAATAGGTCAATTGAAGATCTTTTTAAAGTCTAGTATTTTGGCATTTTGTTTGTTTTTTTTTTCTTTTCTTTTCAGAAATGTGCGATATAATTTCTAAAATGCCCCAAAATAATTAAATTAATTTCAAAATACAATGAAGCCATCCACATGCTAGAAGAAATTAGCAACGATAATAATGATATCTGAAAATATCTTGCATATTATGACATTCAAGGTCTAGTAGCTATATGGCTTTTCCAGTGACAATTCACCAGTTACTAATGCCATTATTATTCTTTATTTCCTGACTACATAGTGTTATCACAATTATAGATTTTCAAATAGAGAAAATGGTATGGTATTACATATCTTACATATACATGAAAAATCAACACAAATATAATAAACAGATAGGACAGCAAGGACACACCTCTTGGTTAAAAGCTAACCCCCCCCCCCCTTTACAAATTTAAGTACAGTTTTGGACAATTAATAGGTGTACACATTTATTTTTTAATAATACTTTTTAAGATATTAACTGTCAAGGCTCTGTATGGGCGGCTTATCAAACAAAATGTAATTCACCCTACAAATTTACCATCGTAGATTTTTTTTTTTTTACAATACGTCCACTTTCAATGCAAGATTATACGTGAATACATTCTTATCTTGTTTGTTTGTTTTTAATTTGATACATACGTAAAAGAGAAGATACATGTTTTGATTTTGTCAATTTCTGTACTATGTGTTTGTGTTTTCTTAAAGCTTCTGCTTGTTATTTTTCAAATAAAATATGATTTAAACAAATTTATTTGTAAAAAATACATTTTGCTGAACAGTTAATTTCAGCCGAAAGAATTTGCAATCGTACTATTTTGTCTTTTCAAGTCAAATAAATCCAAGTCCGTGTTCAAAAAAGGTTTTCTTTGATATTTACAACAATCATAGCGCTTACTAGAATATTATTGATACCAGCTAATGGCTTTCTTGGCCGGCTTTTATCTGAACGTCGAATTTTCAAAATAACAAATTTTATGACCAGAATGTTTTTAGACCAGCTAAAAAAAAAAATTAATTTATATAAACAAAATTTGTGATATTTGCATTAATACACATGTCCATGAGTTGAATATGGAAAATTAACTTGAATAAAAAGAGTGCTTAACAATAAAGATATTCAATGTCTAATCCACGTTGCAATTCTACAAAATTGTTTAAATAGTTTGTCAAATTACTTGTAATTAAAATTTAATATTAGGCATCAACAACATACATGATGAGCATAATTATATGAGAAATTTTCATGATTTTGTCCATTTTCTATAAAGTAATATACCAGGGAAGAGGGACGCTGTAACGACTTATAAACATACAGAACAATTTACCAAGACTAACAATAAAAAGGACATGACAGACTACTTACAGAAAAAGAACAAATCAGTACTAAATAAAAATATAACGTGGAGAAGTTAATGCAGTGCATTATTCCATGAAAATGCATTAAAAAGGCATCATTTTTATTCCTAATTGAAAAAGGTCTACCCAATGTCACACAGAATAATCCTTTGAAGTGTTTTTCTTTCCCCTTTTTTTAAATTAGAAAAGGTTGATTGATAAGTCATATTACCTTAAAAGTTACATTTATTACCGAATATTTTGAATTTTCTGAAAACTACTGAAGCTTGATAATAGGAATATAGAGTTTTTAAATAAATGTTAAGTCTTTACGTTCTATAACTGCATAGTCCAATATGAATATTTTTATTTCTATTTTAATTACACACTAATATGCAAATGTGGTACATTTTCAGAAAAGTCAAAAATGTCAAGGTTTTAAACTTGTTTCTTTTGGTAAATAAGGACTGATAACGTTAATGCATTTTATAATACCCCTGTTTGAAAATTGGGATATATATTAAGAGGGTGTACATTATCCTTGGGGATAACCATCCCGTATCTGCAACTCCTCTAACACCATGAAACTTTCACGAAATCTTTATTCCGTAGTGGCATAGTGTGCATTTCATCTTACGTTTCGATAGGACTTATATTTGGGGTTTCCCATCACAAAACATTTACTTTGCCTTTCTTTCTATGATATTGGGGAAACCCATCTTTTATTTGCAATTCCTACTATAAAAAAAATAATAAAAAATAAAAAATAAAATATATATATATATATATAAATTGAATGAGACTCGCAGAATCTTTATTTCAAAGTGCTCTTCCTATTTTACGTTTTGATCAGACAAATAATTGGAGTTTCCCATAACTCTATTTATTTAAAGTCACAAGGTCAAATAATTTTAAGTTAAAAAAAAATTCCAAATGTTAAGATCCTTTGCTTGATACATACATCAGACTGTGTACAATGGCTGCCTCTGTCTAGTAGATCATCCCTAGTTGTCCTTATATAAGTATAAATACTCCAAATTTAAGCTGACCCTTTTCACTGTTACACCTATAACCATATATGTTTCATATACAATTTTTCCTTCAAGTTATCTGTAATCTTCATCCTTTGGTTATGAACTATTTTCTTTTTTGAGTCCATCATGTGTAACAGGAAAGGAGAAAATGTATGACTGGACTAGGAATAGAACCCCAACCCCTGCATCACTACCCAGGTGCTCTCTGGGAACATAACATTTCACTGTTGACTACTTACTGATATAAAATAAGGAGAAAGTATTTGAAACTGAAGATAACAGTTTACTTAAGTGTAATAATCAGAACACATTAATAAACATATAAATGCAATTCAAAATAATTTCCACATATTCACATTTTCTTTCATACATCAAGTGTTGAAGAAACTAGAAGAATATTTCCCATTTTAAACAAGAAATAATAAATTTGTCCAATTTTAAATTGCATATAATTTGATTTACATTGTAAAACCAGCTCAAAAATTCAATACTGGATTGTAAGAACTAGCGCTGTATTTGTACATGTATATTGTAACCAAAATACTCGTACAGATCTTGAAAATAAGGAAGCAAAAAGTTAAATAAGAATAAACTGTGCATACATGTATAAGTAATGAGTTCTTTTATGATAGTGTAACAATAACAATAGCTGTCTAACATTATAATGCAGTATTCAATTCATCAATGTAATGCAATAAGCCTGCCGACTAATCCATTCATGTATGAATACATAATGAAATATGCTGAAATCAATTCAATATTTATTGCTCAGGAAAATATGGGAAATTCAAAAATGTGCTTTCAATCACAATATAGTAGATACATTCAAATGATTTACTAACAACAAAATAGAATATGTGTATGATAAGTAATATTATAATATGTGTGAAATAATTAAGCTTATAAATTATGCATATGGCAGAGAACTTAATGAAGAAAATAATATACCTACAATGCTTGCAAATGATTGCAGCAATAATAGTAAAAAAATAAAAATAGTTACAATGGTATATAAAAGAGTAACAAGGGGCCCATGGATCTTAACGGTCACCTGAGTATAAAACAACCCTGAGCAGAGAAAATTTTCTAAGAAATAATGCATTTTCACAATATAATCAATAGAGCGAGCCCACCCTGACACCAGAATCCCTGACCCAGGATCCTTGAATTCAACAATTTTGAAAGAGGCATTCTTGCTCATCATAACCATGGCTTAGTTTGTCTGATAAATATACAAAGGGAGAGAAGAAGATTTTTAAAGAATTAATGCATATTCTCTATATAATCAAATGAGTTCTGACCTTACACCAGAACCCCTGACCAAGGAGCCATGAATTTCACAATTTTGGTAGAGGAGTCAATTCTTATCACAATCATGCCAACAATTTAAATGCGTGATGTTCAGGAGCAAAGGAGATTTTCAAAGATTGTATTAATTTTGATGGTTTTAGCCACACCCTCAGTCTCCAAGGGTAGGGACCATAAAACTCACAATTTTTGTTCCCCTTCACCCATTGATGCCTTATGCCAAAATTGGTTAAAACTGCCAGAGCGGTTTCAAAAAAGCAGCTCAAAATGTCAGTATGTTAACACAACATTGACAAGAGTGATTCGGGTGACCTAATAACAGTAATAATCTACACTGCTAGTAAACAATTCTATTATTGAAAGTTTCTCATTTCAATTCGTAAATATCACATGCTTGACAAAAAATTCAAACATATACTCATTCAATACTTAATTATATTTCTCTTCTCACAGGAGTGTGAAAATTGTGCTCTTTTCTTAAATTGATGATTAACAAATTCTTGTTCCACAAGTAAAATATACAATGCATCATGAAACTATTTGCTGTCATATAGGAAAGTTGATCTTTAATCCTTGTCAACCCTGCATTTGATTGTTCATTGCATTGGCTGTTTTTGGCAGAGAATTGTGGGTACAAGGACAAATCATAAGCAAGGCTTCAAGCTGAAATACAAGAAAAGTCAATGTTAAAATATGAATCATGAATAAATTAAAAAAAACATTTTCAAATTCAAAAAAGAAGATTTGTGTACATGTGGAAGCTTCAAACATACAAACTCAAAAAAAGGTACATGTATAGTAATTCAATATACATGAATAACATTAAAAGAATTACTATTGAAAAATTTCAGTAAGTTAGACTTCATCCTCAGGCAGAAATAGTCTAACTAGATATCACTGGGATAGTGACCATCTTAAGGGGCCTGCTATTTTTTGTAAGGGTCATTGGGATGAAATAGACTTAGTGTAGAGGAATGTATTTGGAGCTTGACCTTGACTCTTGACTTACACCTTTACCCTTGGACACTCTTTGTGTGAGGTATGAGCCACAATGGGCCACAGGGAGAACATATGTTCATTACAAGGATTTTAAACAGAGATCTGCTATAATCTTGACCTTGAATCTATAAAATTGGTTCAAGGTCATTGTATACCCATAACCATTTAGCACTCTAACCATAAAACACATGTTAGTTTGGACCAAGGGGAGAGATATAAGCCCTAGACAATGATTTACACACTTTGACATTGCTCTTGATTAAATGAATTGGTTTAAGATACCTACACATCCTCTCTATTCACAAGCAATATGTGGCTGAAGATTTAGCAAAGATTGGGAAGGGGAAAGAAAATATGCTTTGCATGGATTTAAAACAGTAATATTTTTTTTTGGGTACCTTAACCTTCGATTAAAAAACAGTATGAAGAAAATAAGGCAGAACATTCAAGAACTAAATGAAAAATGTGGACTTCCTTATATCCCTATCAGAGCGGAAGGAGATGCCCGGTATAATAATGCCACCTTCAGTGCCATTGGAAAAACCCCATTCCAAGCGACTTATACCGTAAGTGACAATGTAACTCGGAGGAAAAATGTTGTGGCAGTGTTCTGTGGGAATAAACTATGCAAAAAAGGTGCACACCTAAGAAGCAAAGCAAAGGAATGAAGTTGCCTGCCAAGGACACAAAGACTGCACTGCAACCATTCCTCCAGAGACCACCACTGGAGATGAGAAGTGATGGACTGCAAAATGTATTGGTGAGTTACAAAGTGATGACCATCCCCTAGTCATTTCCCATTTCACCAGTGATGGAGAAAGTGCCGCTGCATCTGGTGAATCTGAAAAACAAGGACATGCCATTGAAAACCTTAAAGACTTGCATCATTTCTTTGACTCTCAAAGAAAACAGACTGCTAAGGCTCTATTCAGCAGTCACATGTTTCTGGGAAGAACCAAAGCCATAAGAGAATCCATGCAGAGAAGATTTGGCTTGGACCTGAAGCTTCGATGCAGGACAGAGTACTAGACACCACTCTGGAGACTTACCTTTGATGAAGCGGGCTATGTCTACTGCTGTCAGTTCCATCGTAAGTTGCTACAAAGGACAGTGTGGGAAGTCCTGTCAACTTTATTCCTTTTCCTGTCGTGGACTGAAAAGCAATAAGTGGAAATCTTCAGTGTTGCCTACTGACTTTGAATTAAACATGACAGAAGAAGACAAATGTTTGTTAAAAGACTATATAAATTTGACTTTAGGACCAAGTAATCTTGATAGAATTAAATATCATACTTGTACACAAAAATATGGATCTGTGAATAGGGCATATTTAAAATCAAATCCAAAATGTATTACAAGTAGTAGAAATTTTGAAAGTAGAACATACAAAGTTGTGCACTCACTGAATAGGGGTCATGGAAACTCAACATTGGAACTTCGTGAATCTGCAGGGGCACCTGTTGTAAAAGGAAGTAGAGTGGTCCATCATCTAAAACAACAACAAAATAAGCAAAATTACTTTAAAATGAAACAAAAACTGTTAAAATATAAATCTCAAAGAAAATACTTTACATCTAAAAGATATCAGCTGTACGATGAAAAATCTAAAGACACTTACAGTAAATCACCAACAGATCCAAAATTAAAATGAAAGTTGTAAGACTGTATGGTAATAATTGTTGCTATGTTTTATTATGCACTGATTCTATTCAACTGTGTAAATGGGGAAAATGTGGATATGTAAATGATGTATAAAATTGTACATGTAAAATGTGACATTTTCTTTTACAAGGGAGTCTGTACTTGTAAATATGTTTGATTTTTTATCATTTATCTCATTAAAATTATTCTAATTTATTTTCTTGTTTTTCTTACCTGTCTGATGAACACAACAAAGGTTACGGAGGTGATTGGTAGAAATACAGGTATACGGGTGTCAAAACTCTCTCTTGATGACCAGACTGCATCCCACATTGTATATCCACCATTATTGATCTGTAACAGGGGAGACTACTCCTGAAATCAGAGAAATTGCAGTCAAAATGAGAGTTACCTGTTACTCTTTAGGTCTCACAGAAGGAAAAAATTTCACTATATGTTACTATATAGCTTTAATTAATAAATTAATTAACTAGACTCTCAGCAGATAAGTCATGAAAGAGATAATAAAGATTAATACTTAAACAAAAATTTGAGATCAGAAAAAAATAAGCCTTATGCGACTTTTAAGAAAAAAAGTTGAATGTAAACATACCTACCCCGAAATACATGTAGATTTCACATGTTGACAAACAGATCTAGACTTACACACCATCCAGGAAATTGCTTCATGCACACCTAAAAATGAGTTCCCTTTAATTCAGTGGGACAATTGTGCTAAAGATATGATATACCTAATACATGAGTCCAAAATTAATACTGTAGGCCTAAAAACGATGCCGAAAATGAAAAAATAAAAATAAATTGTCTCTAAATATATAGAACTATAATTAACTAAGTTCAATTTGATTGGCTATTTCCTTGGGTAAGACCTTTAAGTTGTCCATAAATTACAGCTCTTGTATATACCGGTATTGACATTGAATTTTCAGTACATACCTGTATGACAATTCAAGTGCAGTCAATTGACATAAAATTCTGAAGTCTGGAAAGACAAAGGGTCCATCTTGAGACAATAATGCTCTAATTTACAACATATTCATTTATAATGAATTAGGTGCTGAAGAAAGTATAGAGTATGTGCCAATAAAATTCTCAATATTCAGTGTATAAAATAGACATACTTTGCAAAATGCAGATATCAATCTCACAATTATTTAATTACCTTAT